GATGATCTAGTTACCCAAGAGACTTTGAACCCATTATACTATTTTAATGATGAAAGTAGCACTCCACTCATTACAGCATTTAGTAATTCCTTTGGGACAGCAGGTTTCAAGAAAAATTATTTTGAAATTATTTCAAATGTACAGGAATTGCAAGATTAGCACAAATAATTCCATCATACTATTCACCCTGATTTACTGCACTTTCCCCCATTTGCTTGTTCTGTGTGTTTTTTCTAAACCATTTGAGGGTTAGCTACAGACATTATCATGCCCCTAACCTTAAATATTTTGGCATGTACATTTTATTTACTTTTTTTGGCACGTACATTTTAAAAACAAGGACATCCTCTCTTATAACCACAGAACGACAAGCAAATTCAGAAATTTTAACACTCATACAGTACTATTATCTGGAATATGGCCCATACTCAAATTTCACCAATTATCCCAATAACATCCTTCATGTCAATTTTCTCCCCTGATGTAAGATCCAATCTAGGATCATGCATTTCATTTACGTGTCAAGTCTCTTTAGTCTCTTTCAATCTGGAACAGTTCTGCGGTCTTTTTTTTTTAACTTTCATGACCTTAATCTTTTTGAAAAATTGTCTTACAAAAATCTCTCAAGTTTGGTATTTCTGAAATTTCCTTAGTCAGATTCAGGTTAAACACTTTGGGCCAGAAGAACACAGAGATGCTGTGTGTCCTTCTAGGCAACTTGTACCACAAGGTGATCAACTGGTCAAGGTGGTGCCCCTCCATCTCTCCACTATAAAGTTACTATATATTTCTTTGTAATTGAGAAATGCTTTGTGATTAGGGAAATACTCTGAAACTATGAAAAATATCCTCTCTACAAATTCTCCATTGTTGACTCCTCCCCGAATCAATTACTACAATGACTGCAAAATGGTGATTTTTCTAAGTTGATTATTCTTTCTACATTTATTAGTTGGCATTCTAATGTAATAAAGAGCTTTTCCTTTATCCCTTATGTACTTCATTTGTTTACCTTATTCATTGTGTTACAATCCATTATTGTCATTATTCACCCTAACCTTGCACTATATTGTCCCATATTTTGCTTGAGCTGTCTCTATGTTCCTTTAACATTTAATACCATAAAAGGTATTATCTCAACTTATAGACAAGGAAAATGAAGTGGCTTATCCTTTTATAAAGGCAGTGTGTAGAAAGTCTGCAATAGAATTGAACAGTCTATCAGCTGGAAAATTAACTAAAACCTCAGTTATAAAATTTCCAGTTGTTCCTTGCAACTACTTATAGCATCTTGGAACTATACTAGCATCTAGTTTTTAAAACTAGAAAAGGAGTGCTCGCTTCGGCAGCACATATACTAAAATTGGAACGATACAGATAAGATTAGCATGGCCCCTGCGCAAGGATGACACACAAATTCGTGAAGCGTTCCATATTTTTATTTGAATCAGTTCTAATGAGATGGATGAAACTGGAGCCCATTATACAGAGTGAAGTAAGCCAGAAAGATAAAGACCAATACAGTATACTAACGCATATTGATGGGGATGGAGAATACATGTAAATCCATGGCTGATTCATGTCAATGTATGGCAAAACCCACTACAATAGTGTAAAGTAATTCGCCTGCAACTAATAAAAATAAATGGAAAAAAAAAAACAAACCAGAAAAGGAGGCTAGCCCCACATTAGAATAAAGTAACAGAGTACTTTTAATGTTTCCTTTCAACATAGCAGACCACAGCAATTAAATCTGATGGATCGCTAAAAAGGACAAGAGTTAAAATTACCCTATTTACTATTCATTATTATTATTTACTATTATTAATTACATCAAATGTATATTTATTTAATTATATGACTACCCTATGAGGCATGATGTAGCTATCATTATTTCACTTTATCAATGAGAAACAACTTTTAAAAATCAAAGAACCACATTCCAAAAGACCCAGATTGTTAAGTTTATTACACAGCACCTGGTGATGATCACCAGATAAGTGGATTTTACCCACATCCAAGAAGTCCCCACCATCTGGCAGGGGGCAGCTGATGGAAAGGAAAAGCAAAAATTGGGATGTTAAACCAGCATTAAGTTGTAACTTTGTTAACTCTGGTTCCTGGAAAAATCAGAGAATCATTGCCATAAAGGGTGTCAGCTATAGTCAGTAATAAGAGTGGAACCCAGGCCATGAGGGGTTTGATAAAGTCTGCTGATTTATTTATGTTAGGTGAGTAAGTCTCTAAAAAGGAAAATGCTATTAAGCAAGCTCAAGTCACAGGCACAAAGAATGAAAGGTAAAGATGACAAGCACTTGTAAATCTTCATCAACAATAAAAAGGCTGTCTAATAATGACAATATGTCAATTACATCTCAACAGTAAAGGAAAGGCTGTGCACTTAAGAAGTCTAACTGCAGGCTGGGCGACAGTGGCTGCGTGGGGTGGTGGAGAGGGGATAAGAGCAGAATTAGATCGAGGGCCCAGAGCTCTAACCTGTGCAACTAATAGGCTGGATAACCTTCTCTCCCAGGGGCCTCCCAGCCACAAAATTCCTTCAAACACAAAACTGCAGTTGCTGCTGAGCGTTGCTCAGGTGAGGCACCTGGAAAGCCACCACTGGAGGTCAGTCCAACAAGCACAACTTATTTCACTCCGCAATGTTACACATTTGGCTTAATTTCTGCACTTCTCTGGGAACAAAAGGGCTAAGAAGATGGTGGAGTTTAAATACTTATTTTTAATCTCTCCTTTTCTCATAGCTTCAAAATATGCAGTTTCCACAGTATTTTAAAATTTGAGAGTTGCACAGTGGTATAAACTTTATGTTAACAATAAAAATATGCAAGAGGGCATGAACTGACACCTTTCTTCCTTTTATCTTCCCTCTCAACCTGCCTGAGTCCTAACAGAGCAGACAAGACTGCTGAACCCTTTCTTTAAGTGGATTGTAACTGGTAATTTTTCCCACATATGACACCAACCTTGAAATGGTCGATTCTTTAGAAACATAATTTGTTGTTTTTGGTCCCTCAGTCATGTCTGACTCTTTGTAACCCCATGGACTGCAGTACGCCAGGCTTCCCTGTCCTTCACCATCTCCCGGAGCTTGCTCAAACTCATGTCCACTGAGTTGGTGATGCCATCTAATCATCTGGCACTAGCCATTTACCCTTCGCAGCAAACATTCACCTTTCATTCAATCTGAGGGCAGCCACAGAGCCAGGTACAGGCAGACTTGGAACATACTGACCAATTTCTCTCCCTCAGAATGGTGTTCCTTTACAACGTACTTTTTGTAGGTCAAATGGAACTTTGGAAAGAACAGAAATTTACTGACTAAAAGGCTCCTGAAAGTGACCGTCCCCATTTTCCTGGGTGACTCCAGGTCCCTCAAAAGCTGACAGACACTGAGGTGGCCACATGGCCCTGTTTACCTGCCGTCATGAGTTTCAGTGCTGTTACTTTCTTCAGGTTTAATTTACTCACTCACACTCTTCTCAAAACTCAGTATCACTTAAGTCTTTCTTCCTCACACCCTAATGTATCATTGAGGAAATCGATTAAGACAAATTGGCTTTAGTATTGTGTCAATTTTCTGAGAGGCAGATCATCCAATAATCCAGTTGCCTTCCATGTTTAAATAAAATCACATTTAACAAATCAGGGTATGTGTTGATTTTGGAATTGGCCTTCTACTAAAATAAACAACTTTAAATGCCTGTAAGTTCAAAAGGAAAAAAGAAAAAAAAAAGGTTTCCCTAATTAGGAATTCTAGTTCTGAGTATTCACCCAGAAGAATTCAAAGTCAGGTCTTAAGAAATATTTGCACATTCATGTTCCTAGCAACATTATCCACCACAGCCAAAACATGGAAGTAACCCAAGTGTCCATCAACAGATGAATGGATAAACAAAATGTAGTATATACATACAAAGGAAATTACTATTATTCAGCCCTAAAAAGGAAGGAAATTCTGAAACCTGCTATAAGATGGCTGCATATTGATGACATGATGCTAAGTAAAAGATGCCAGTCATAAATCATATATGATTCCACTTATATGAGGTACCTAGAACAGTCAAATTCAGAGAGACAGAAAAAAAAAGTAGTGGTTGCCAGGGGAACCACTATGTGAAGACAGAGAATAGGGAGTAGCTGTTAACAGGCACAGAATTTTTTTAGTTTAGTTTTTTAGTTTTACAAAAAGAAAGAGTTCTGGAGGTTAGCTGCACAACAATATGAATGTACTTAATGCTACTAAACTGTACACTTAAAAAAAAGGTTATGAAAGCAAATTTTACATTATATGTATTTTACCACAATTTCAAAAAATTCTTCTTTATGTCACAAAGCTAAATCCCAGGGCTGAAAGTCCTTTCAGTTTGAACCAGCACATTATCCATCATTTCAACAACACTTGGCAGGGTGAGAAGTCAAGCAAGACAAATAGCTCTCTCTGAGTACCTTACGTTGCTTAATGACAGGTGTGTTGTCCGAAATAATTAGCTTTTAAAAAGGAGTAGACTCAACTCTCCTTTGGAACTGGTTAGGGATCTCAGTTTCCCTTCATTAAGTTCCTGACAGCTCAATGTCCTCACATCTGTCACTGTTTGGGAGACTGATTCCAAGAACACAAATTGCTTCAAGGACTGGGCAACAAATTTATTCTGGTTCACAGAACAGAGCTGAACCCATCTGTTTTCTAATCAAAAGCCATATTTGAATCAGTTTTGCTCCATCACAGAACCACACTAATGGGAGCAGTACAATCATATGGTATTTTCCTCCTTTCTATCCATGTGGTACACATGATTATGGGAAACACAAATCAATTAAAGGCATGACAGCACCCTCAGAAACAGGGTCTCTGCAGACTGTAGGACCTTCAACCAATTCCATTTTTATCTGTTAATTCTTCAGACCACAGTGATTCATTTCCTCTAAGTGACATGGTTTCTTTCTGAATTACACACGGGAAAATATTCTTACCAACTTACCTTAATCTTTTTTTAAGCTGTAAACTGTCATGGATGATTCTTTTAACAAACTCTAATTCACCTCCTTCTGCCATGATCTCTGTGATTCCTCCTGTATTTACAGAACTGGGTGGGGGTCTTCGAGGATTTCGAGAATTTACTCCCTGAACAACAACAACAACAAAAACCCTGGTGAAAAATTTTTACATCTTAAGACCAGGTCTCTGTAACCTAGTTCTAAGTAAGAATGCTTAGACATAATTTCAATTCCCAAGTACCATGCTAGACTCAAGATTTAAAAATCATATAACCACGGCATTTGAAACATTATTGTTTCAAACAACAATATTCCTTCCCTAAAGGGTCTTTACCTTCCATCTTTGTGATTAAACATACCAACATTATACTTTTTAATGTAACAATTCTGTCATTTTTTCTTTACGTTTTCTGTCTGGTATTATATACTGAAAATATTTCACCAAAAGATTATAAAAACATTGAATTTTGTTTTCTTCTAGTATGGTTTCACTTTTAGATTTTAAATATTTAATCCACTCCTACCTCACACCATATTTTTAAAAAATCCAAGCAGAACAAAGATTTAAATATAAATATCTAAAGCAATAAAACTTAGAAGAAAATATAGGAGTAAATATGCTTTTCAGCTATGAAACCAAAAGCATAAGCAACAACAAAGACCAGATAAACTGGTAAAAGTTAAAAACAAAAAGTAAAAACTTTTACTTTTTACCGAGCTGCAAAGGACACTGCCAAGAAAGTACAAAGGCAACCCACAAAATGGGAGAGAATATTTGCAAATAATATACCTAATAAGGGGCTTCCCTGATAGCTCAGTTGGTAAAGAATCCGCCTGCAATGCAGGAGACACCAGTTCAATTCCTGAGTCGGAAAGATCCTCTGGAGAAGGGATAGGCTACCCACGCCAGTATTTTTGGGCTTCCCTTGTGGCTCAGCTGGTAAAGAACCTGCCTGCAATGTGGGAGACCTGGATTCAATCCCTGGTTGGGATGAGATGATCCCCTGGAGAAGGGAAAGGCTACCTACTCCAAGGGACTTGCATACAGAATAAAGAATTCTTACAACAATAGTCAGAAGAAAAATAGCCCAATTCAACTGGGCAAAGTATCTGAACAGGCCTTTCTCCAAAGATACACAAATGATCAAAAAGTATGTGAAAAGATGTTCAACATCATTAGCCATCAGGGATATGCACATTCAAACCACAATGAACTACCACTTCATTCCTCCTAGGATAGCTGTAACCAAGAAGATAATAACCAGTGTTGACAAAAATGTGGACAAACTGGAAGTCCCACACACCTGGTTATAATAAAAATGGTGCAGCCATTTTGGAAAACATTCTGGCAGTTCCTCAAACAATTTAACACACAGTTACAAAAATAAATAAATAAATAAACACACAGTTACCAGATGACCTAGTAAGTCCGCTCCTAGGTATATACCTAAGAGAAGTGAAAACATGTTCATGCAAACACCTGTACAAGAATACTCGCAGCAGCTTTGTTCATAATAGCCAAAAAGTACCTAAAACCCAAATGTCCTTTGATGAATGAATGGATTGATAAAAGGGGTATTTCCATACAACGGAATATTATTTGGCAATAGAAAGAAACTAACACATGCTACGATATGGGTAAACCCTGAAGACATACTATGTTTAGTGAAAGAAGTCAGCCACAAAAGACCACAGATTTTATAACTCCATTTTAATGAAATGTTTGAAATAGGGAACTCCAGAAACAGAAAGTAGACCAGGACTAAGGGGGCTGCAGGGAAACCAAGAGTAACTGTTAATGGATGTGGGGCTTTTTTGGGGGGTGGGGGGGGGGGGTGGGGGGGGGGGGGGATGATGAAAATGTTCTAAAATTAATTGGATAATGGTTGCACAATTCTGTGAATATAATAAAAATAATAAAATTCTACCCTTTAAGTAGGTGAACTGATGGCATGAAAATTACATTTCAGTAAAGCTGATGTAAAAAGATATTTAATTCTGGTGCCAGTAACAGTTTATTTCTTCATCTGGAAGCTCGTTCTACAAGAATATTCACTTTGGAAAATCCAACTTACATTTATGGCATCTGTATTTTTATGTGTATATAGAATATCTCAGTATTTTTCTTAAAAATGTACTCTAGGATGTGGCTATTTTAGTTCTTAAATTTATCTGCATCAAGAGCGAAAATTTAAATTCTAAATCCTGCTTTACTTTATGCTCCAATCTAGAATGTGTTATTGCTAATAAATTTCTGTCCACCTCACCCCCAACTCAAATTTGATCTATGTGGAATTTATTTTGCTATGAAGTATGTAAATGGTATTTTAGAGCATCTGAGTGATTCTAAAAACAATTTATTCTCTCAAAGTTTAAAGCATACACACCACCCCTTGTTTCCTCTGGCTAATATTTCTATTAACTTTTCTTTAGATGAGGAAAAATTAGGTTAAATCAATATTTTATTGATTTTCAACAGCTTAGCTATTTTTAGCCAATGTATGAGTTGTTTTAAGCCAATGTATGAGCTGTTTTTAGCCATTTTCATGAGCAAATATATTTTATTTCATAAAATCAACATACTTATTTCAAGTTGGAACACAAAATCAGCTATTTGTTTACTATCAAATGATAGCTGGCTATAAAGAAGGTCTTTCCTTAGGCCAAAAGGCCCAATGCAGGAGTAGACTGTAACCTAAGTTGGTCCAATCAGAAGAAATCCAAATGTTCAATGGTTTGAAAAAGAAAAGAGCTCCCTCCTCACCCTCTCCCCCTCCCCATATATTACTCTGCCACAGGTAAACCAACTTGAGAACAGAAACAACCAAGGGTCAGATCAGAGCCAAAGGGAACTTGAAAAAAGTCTCAGCTTTGATATTATGATGAACTCCTTGATCAAACTATTCCTGAAGTTCATGCTATTGCTGGATTTCTCAGATACATAAACCAATAAACATTTTTGGAAAGTCAACCTGAATTAAGACTTTCAGGTACTTGATACCAGAAGCGTCCTAACTGATACAGCTTCCAAAATAAATGCTGCTTTTATCTTTGCAAACAAGGAAAACTTAGATAAATATTCAACTGCTTTAAAGGAGAAGACATTTTACCTTGGCTTCCAACTGATTGGCAAAAAAGGGAGGGTTGCACATGCAAAAGTCATAAATTATCTCTGATTCTTCTTTAAGAGCATCCATCAGGAGTGTCTTCTGTGGTACTTTAACCACTAGGAGAAAAAAAGAGAGAGACTTAACTACTATTAATACTGTGACAGTTTTCAAATATATCCACAAATTCTTCGACACTAGTCTCTTCAAGAGGTGGTATTTGATTTCCCTCTCCTTGAGTGCAGCTTCACTCAATGACTTGCTTTTATTGAAAAGAACATGATAGAAGTAAAAGGGTATCACTTCTGAGGCTAGGTCATAAGAAGCAATATGGCTTCCTCCTTGCCCTATCACTTAAACAACTTGCTCTATGAGAAGCCAGCTGACATGCTCCAAGGATGCTTAAGTAGCCCTGAGGAGAGATCCACATGGCAATGAACGAAAGCTTCCTGCCTACAGCCACGTAAGTGAGCCATCTTGGAAGCAAATCTCTATCCCCAGTCTTCCAGACTACAACCTCATGAAAGACTCTGAAGCAGAACCACCTGGCTAGGCCACACCCAAATTCCTGACCCACATGAATGATGAGATAATAAATGTTTACTGTCTAAACTGCCAGATTTGGGGGTAATTTGTAATAGAGGAATGGATAACTAAAAAACTCATTAATAATATATTAGGGGACTTCCTTGGTGGTCTAGTGGCTAAAACTCCACGCTCCCAATGACCATGGGCCCAGGTTCGATCTCTGATCAGGGAACTAGATACCGCATACTGCAATGAACTGCAACTAAGAGTTCACATGCCACAACAGAAGACCCACATGCCACAACAAAGATCGAAGATCCAAAAAAAAAAAAAAAAAATTGAAGATCCTGTGAACTGTAGCTAAGACCCAGTGCAAATACATATATATTTAATATATACATTAGTATCTCCCCTTATGATATGTTTAACACTAGTAAGAAAAGTCTATTTCTTAGATAGCCAGTGTAAATTTGCTGCATGACTCGGGGAGCTCAAACTGGGGCTCTGTGACAAACTAGAGGGGTGGGATGCGATAGCAGGGAGGTCCAAGAGAGAGGGGACATATATTTACCTATGGCAGACTCAAGTTGATATATGGCAGAAACCAACACAATACTGTAAGGCAGTTATCCTTCAATTAAAAATAAATAACTTAAAAAAAAGAAAAGCCTATTTCTTCCGAAGAGAGACATAAAGTCTCTTTAATACCAAAAGAAAAAAAGAGAACTGCCTTTTACGTAGACAATAAGCACAGAAATAAACGTAAAAGCTCTACTTGAATGCACTGTTTAAGTCAGGGTGCCCGTCAGTCTCATGGTACTTACATAACTTGAAGGGGCTTCCCCAGTGGCTCCGTGGTTAAGAACCTGCCTGCAACGCAGCAAACACAGGAGACAGGGGTTTGACCCCTGGGTCGGGAAGATCTCCTGAGGAAGGAAATGGCAACCCACTCCAATATTTTGGTCAGGATAATCCCATGGAGCCTGGTGGGCTATAGTCAGTGGGGTTGCAGAGTCAGAAATGACTGAGCAACTTAGCACAAAGGAGATCTGACTATTTGTAGCACAGTTCCATATGCGGAAATAAAAAAGATGGTACAGTTTAATCAACAGTGGGATTTTCTTCCTTTAAAATCTTGGTAACCAGGTTACTTCATATACAGTTGGTTCTCATTAGCAGTAAAGTCACCACAAACACTGAATTAGTGAATACTGAACCACTGACTCCTAAGAGAAATACAGGGTTAGGTAGCTTCAAGCCTCTGATCACATTTTCATCATCCGATCAATATATATCCTATTTTATGTATCTCTGTTTAAAGACACCTTATTTAATATACATTACTGACTCATCAAGATTGAACTCATGGCCAACAGTACTATAATATGTCTGAAGAAAACTTATCTGACATACGTATTTTCTGTAAGGCACATCACAGCCTTCTACTTAGGAACACTAGTTCAAGTACTATGTTTAGGGGCCATTAAAAACAGCAAAATCACCAAGAAAAAGCACAGAATTGCAACAACAAAAAACGTGGTACTAAATAGACCATGAAAGGAACACTTGTTTACAGTGTGAGAGTTGAAAGGAGACAGCAGGGAAAAGAAAAAGAAAAGACAGCAGGGAACACACACACTGGGTGATTCAAATTTTTTCCCATTTTGCACATGTCTGTGAACGACCACAAAAGAACCACTAGCATTGATTTGGGGACTAAAAATAGCCACATGTAAGCAAACTTAAGCAAGTAGGCAAATTCACAAACACAGAATCCACAAATTATGAGGACTGGCTGCATTCACTCTGTTTCTGAGTTGATTCTGATAACAAAGCAGCAAACCCAATTACAACTGCACCAAATTTTTAAAAATTACCAAAGGTTGTATATTAAATGATATACAAAAGATAATGAGATGTGTCAAATTAGAAAAACAGGTTAACAAACAAAACTTGAAAGGAATATTGATTCTGCAGAGCTAACCTTTTATAAGATCAGATAAGTTATTCTGCTCCACATTCTTCTTTGCGTAGTTGAAGCACATATCATCTACTTCTGTTGCAAGGAAATACCAGCCGTTTAAGGTTGTTCCAAGTAAAGGATAGATGCAGGATGCCCCAGTACCTAGTGAAGTAAGAATTCAAAACACATTGCACACACCTGAGCAGAAGGTGAGAATAAGCAAAAACACCATTCTTCTTTTCTTCAAATCCTTATAGCCTTAACAGCTTAGAACAACAAGCTGGTACTGATTATACACATATTGCAGCTACTGGTTTCATGTATATTAGTCTTATGTCATAATTAGTTTCAAATTTCCTAAAGGAGAGACACTTTCTGCCCTCAATGTATGCTGTATGTAAAATGAAGTATGGCTGGTGATCAAGAAATAGAAGACTGACTAACTGAAAGCTGTCAAAACAATTTAATTTACTTTATAAAAAGTCTTCATTTTAAATCTCTCATGAAACTTAATTTTCTTGAAAGAAATCAATGTAATTCGTTAAAACAGCACAGGAATATCTTAAATAGATCAAGGTACACATCCCATTCTACAGAAGCAGGAAAAAATACATACAGTGTAAGATTTTTATAATACTAAATCACCCAATTTCCTACATATCTATCTGTAAGCTGTTACTTGAAGGAAACCAGAAGTAAAAAGGATTATATTTCTCAGATGTGGAAGCATGGAAAAACATTTGTTCCAGGTCCAAAACATCAGTCATTGGCTGGTCCCACTACAGTTTCAAGGGAGACCTTCAAAGGCCAAATGCTCCAGGCACAAATCTCTCTGACAATTAGGGTTTGGTCCTAAACTTGCATGTAGAACCTCTAAACATAGATTGGACAAGCATATACTAACCACAAATAATTGCCACTGACTGATCTTGGCCAATGAGATCCTAAAGAGTATATTCAAGAGAAGAAAAGCTGGTGTTTTTCTCAGAGGCTCACAGTAGTTAGCCCAATTTCCAGGACCACATTTTGGTGCCAGTCTAGCCTTAGAAGGATTTGGCAGGAAGCACTAGAGGCCAGAGAAATGCCCAACCCAGAGGAAAGTGAGGGTCCTCTTACTACTTCCTCATTAAATACTCAGAACAGGCTAGTAAAAGACACGAAAATGACTGATGGCCGGAACATTCAAGCTCTTCTGACAGTCACAGTGTTTACTAATGACATCCTGGCCCCGATGCTGCTGGGCAAACATCTCTGGGGGATGTGTGAGGCGGTGAGGGAAGGACTGGTAAAAGGCACTCAAGCTCCTCTCAGAATCCACAATTATGTAGACCCTGCTAGCCATTCTGGAAAGGCAGTCACTCAGAATAAGGAAATTAAGGAAATTTAAGTAGCACTTCCAGCTCTGTAGGAAAAACAAACTCAGAGCAGATCCCAGGCCCTTGAGTCTCACACAACGGCCCCTCTCTTCATACTTCAATTTCATTTAAAACAAAAAGAAAAAGGACATCTCCTTTCAGCTGTCCAAAGATCAGGTGCCCTCAGGGTAATAAACAAAGGTGAAAGACCTGCCCTCTGCCAAAAAAATCATTTCTCAATTCTTAAGACCAAAAGACTTGCATTCTAACATTCTAATCCCCTCAGAAAGCTGAATGACATTTTTAAATGGGTAATAATCCTTGCAATGATAAATAAAAATGGAAAGTGTATAACCATAGAATTAGAGCAAACTAATGGAGTCTGGGGGAAGAATTTATATAAAACCCTAATTAGAATGAATGTGATTTCAGCAAGAGTGCCCCTTGTGAAGAGCTAAAATCCATTAACCTCCTATATCCCCAAGTACTATTTTAGAGGGTTTGGGGCGTAATTAAAATAAATTAGTACTAAATAGGCTCTCAAGCTTTTTAAGCTTTTTATAACCCACCAGCCAATCTTCTGCGAGGAACATAAAAGAAACTTTTTTTAAACTCCATTATTTTTACCTAGTGCTTAGTTCATATCATGTGTTCAGAATTTTGAGTATTGAAAGAATGATGTATTTATCCATCAACATTCAACAAATCATTTACTGAGCACCTACTGTGTGCCAAAAACTTTGCTAGGACTTTGAATGTTAAAGTATTAATAACAGACTTGGTACTTTGCAATTGGGTGGCAGAGAAAAACATTAATCAATCAGACAAGTGAATGTGGTTTTAAAAAAATTCCATGAAGGAAAATACAGAGTTTTCTAAAGTTCATATTCAAGGAACGTATCTTATGCTGGAAAGTCAGAGAAGGCTTTCTTAGAAAACAAAGCTTGAGTTGACAGTTCAGTTCAGTTGCTCAGTCATGTCTGACTCTTTGCGACCCCATGGACTGCAGTATGCCATGTCCATCACCAACCCCCGGAGTTTACTCAAACTCATGTCCATTGAGTCAGTGATGCCATCCAACCATCTCATCCTCTCGTCCCCTTCTCCCGCCTTCAATCCTTCCCAGCACCAGGGTCTTTTCCAATGAGTCAGTTCTTCACATCAGGTAGCCAAAGTATTGGAGCTTCAGCTTCAGCATCAATCCTTCCAATGAATATTCAGGACTGATTTCCTTCAGGATTGACTGGTTGGATTGCCTTGCAGTCAGGGGACCCTCAAGTCTTCTCCAACACCACAGTTCAAAAGCATCAATTCTTTGGCGCTCAGCTTTCTTTACAGTCCAACTCTCACATCCATACATGACTACTGGAAAAAAACACAGCTTTGACTAGACAGACCTTTTCTGGCAGAGTAATGTCTCTGCTTTTTATGCTGTCTAGATTGGTCATAACTTTTCTTCCAAGGAGCAAGTGTCTTTTAATTTCACGGCTGCAGTCACCACCTGCAGTGATTTTGGAACCCACTATTTCCCCAACTATCTGCCATGAAGTGATGGGACCAGATGCCATGACCTTAGTTTCCTGAAATGTTGAGTTTTAAGCCAATTTTTTCACTCTCCTCTTTCACTTTCATCAAGAGGCTCTTTAGTTCTGCTTCGCTTTCTGCTGTAAGGGTGGTGTCATCTGCGTATCTGAGGTTATTGTTGTTCCATGCCCAGTTCTAACTGTTGTTTCCTGACATGCATACAGATTTCTCAGAGACAGGTCAGGTGGTCTGGTATTCCCATCTCTTGAAGAATTTTCCAGTTTGTTGTGATCCACACAGTCAAAAGCATTGGTGTAGTCAATAAAGCAGAAGTAGATTTTTTTCTGGAACTCCCTTGTTTTTTCTATGATCCAACTGATGTTGGCAATTTGATCTCTTGTTCCTCTGCCTTTTCTAAATCCAGCTTGAACATCTGGAAGTTCATGGTTCACGTACTGCTGAAGCATGGCTTGGAGAATTTTGAGCATTACTTTGTTAGCATGTGAGATAAGTGCAATTGTGCAGTAGTTTGAACATTCTTTGGCACTGTCTTTCTTTGGGATTAGAATGAAAACTGACCCTTTCCAGTCCTGTGGCCGCTGCTGAATTTTCAAATTTGCTGGCATATTGAGTGCAGCACTTTCACAGCATCATCTTTTAGTATTTGAAATGGCTCAACTGGAATTCCATCACCTCCACTAGCTTTGATCGTAGTGATGCTTTCTAAGGCCCACTTGACTTTGCATCCCAGGATGTCTGGCTCTAGGTGAGTGATCACACCATAGTGATTATCTGGGTCATGAAGATCTTTTGTATCTAGTTCTTCTGTGTATTCTTGCCACCTCTTCTTAACATCTTCTGCTTCTGTTAGGTCCATACCATTTCTGTCCTTTATTGTGCCCATCTTGCATGAAATGTTCCCTTGGTATCTCTAATTTTCTTGAAGAGATCTCTAGTCTTTCCTATTCTATTGTTTTCCTCTATTTCTTTGCATTGATCACTGAGGTAGGCTTTCCTATCTCTCCTTGCTATTCCTTGGAACACTGCATTCAAATGGGTATATCTTTCCTTTTCTCCTTTGCATTCTGCTTCTCTTCTTTTCACTGCTATCTGTAAGGCCTCCTCAGACAGCCATTTTGCCTTTTTGCGTTTCTTTTTCCTGGGGATGGCCTTGACAAGTACAAGTATGGGGAAGAGGTGACAAGTACAGTGGAAACGAGAGAGAACGAGGCGACGGTGGGAGCTCCAGGCAGGGGCAGCAACATGCACAAAGAATCACAATGTCTGATTAGAAGAACTAAAGACACGTGTAGAAATCAAAAAAAAGAAAAAGAATATAAGGTGAGGGTTAGAGACACCTAGAGGGGCAAGAATCAGACAATGAAAATTCTAATAGGCCTACTAAAGGTTTTGGGTGTTTATCACAGAAGCAATAGAAAGTCATTAAAATGGTCAATGTAATAATTAGACATAGGTTTATACATACTTTCTGGAATGGCGAGGCAACAGAGCAGACGAGAGCAGGGTAGTTGAGAAGATATTTTGCAGACAGGGAGACATGATGGTGACTCGGACTGGGATGGTGGCAACTGAGATGAAGAAAAGTAGATGATTTAAGAAATATTTAAGAAAGGAAAACTATTTAAGGGTAAAAGGTGATAGACACTGTCAGTGAGAATGGAGAGAAGCAAAAATCAAGGACGACACGGTGGACTGTGAGGGAGCTGTTGAAATAAGGAACAAAGGCAGAGGACCAAGATTAGGAAGGAAGAATTTGAGTTTGGTCTTGGACATTGCAAAATCTGAGATGTCTCTGACATATCCAAGTTTCTCATATATTTGGGACCAGAGTTCAAGAAAAGTAATCTCAGTTGGAGGAATAAACAATCTGTAGGTTATCTGCATGGAGGTAGAAAATAAAGTCGTAGACATGGACGAAATTGCCTAGAGGTAGAGTGCCAAATAAGAAAAGAGTTAAGATTCAGCTTCAGAAATTCTCAATATTTAATAGCCAGATACAAGAAAGGAAGCCTGAAAAGGGGAGAAGAGTTACTAAAAATGAAAAGGGAAAACCAGAGGAGTCTGGGGTCATGGAAGCCCAATGGAGGAGTGTGTTTAAAAGAGAAAGGAGAGGTAGGTAAATGCTGCTGGAAAGGTCATGTACTATGAGCCTTGAAAATGTTGAACATTTACTATCACCTAGAAACTGTCTCCTAGTAACTATATTTAGAAATAGAGTACAGAGTTTTTAATTCTTCATTCTTTCTATAAAGAATTAATAAAGTCCAACAGATTAACAAATTTTAAACTCTATCAAAATGAAAACACTGGCTATGACAAACATATATTTATAATTGTAAAACCCACCCTGGCTTCATTTCATTCTGTTTCTCTACTTATTTCCCCAAATGAATCAAACAGGACAGTCTTCTCCATTGTAGAAGTTTACAATTAAGTGAACATCTTAAAGCCTTTTCCTTCCTTTTAATTTTGGATTAAATAGTCTCTATGAATAATTATCTAAGAGATTTCTAAAAGTATTCAGGCCCACATGATCTTTTATTAAGTGGCCATCACCACAACATCCCAATATGGGGACTTCTGTAGTAACACCAAATAATTCAGAGTAAAAATAGTGCCCAACAGACACAGATGTAGACATGGTGATCTGAAAAGCTAAGAAAACAGGAGCCCCACTTTCATTCTGCACTCTCTTACCTCCTTGTGCTCTGTCTGGGGTTGACAATCCCTTCTCAGAGAGACTGACAGCAGAAAAGCCCAGGTGTACCAAAAAAGGACAATGACATTTGTAGCCAGTTTCTTTTACACAACAAATACCCAGGAGTTTTCAAAGAACTTGCAAAGACCTCGCAAAATTTATGAAACTTAACAGTTAGCCAAGAAAGAATTTTAAGCCATGTACCTATGTCAATTCCTCTTCGGAGGGTATTTTTGTCAGAGTTCTGATGACCGATCAGATCTTCTACCCAGTGAATATAGTTGAGTCTCAAGGGAACTGTAGGAATCAGTCTCTCCAGCGGAATATCAATAGAAAGTCCAAAATCTTCCCTTAGCAGAGTACAAGTCAGAGCTCTGACTGCTTCGGGGTCTTTAAAATTAAGACTGGGAAAGGTGGAGAAAAAGAAGTAAAACTGATTAGTAAGATGTGCTATGCTGCAAAAGCTCTATGGCAACCAGGCAGTACCAAACACCCATTTGAATTTCCTGGAGATCACGGATAAATAGTTATGCAGGAGCATTCAGCGGAGAAGGCAGTGGCAACTCACTCCAGTACTCTTGCCTGGAAAATCCCATGGACAGAGGAGCCTGGTAGGCTGCAGTCCATGGGGTCGCAAAGAGTCAGGCAAGACTGAGCGATTTCACTTTCACTTTTCACTTTCATGCACTGGAGAAGGAAATGGCAACCCGCTCCAGAGTTCTTGCCTGGAGAATCCCAGGGACGGGGGAGCCTGGGGGGCTGCCATCGATGGGGTCGCACAGAGTCGGACACAACTGAAGTGACTTAGAAGCAGCAGCAGGAGCATCCAGGGCTGTGGCAAACACATATGGTTGTGTAACAGTCACAGTATATGAGAGGCAGCATAAATTTCCTCCAAAAATACTGCATCCTCATACATGAAGCATAAAAAACCAGAATACCTCAGTTCCAGTTCCTGCCGAGTTGTCTCCTTACTTAGTTATGTGACTTTGGACAAGTTATTTAGCCTCTATGAGGCCATTTACTCCACTGTAAAATGGGGATAATACCTACACGTAGAGCTGCTGTGTGATAATCTGTGGAAAGTACTAGCATAATGCCTACTACATAGTAACTGTTTCACAAATGTTGGCTATTTTTACTATCACCAATTAACATGATATGATAGCAGCATTCTCTGAAAATCATACTTAAAAGTGGAAAGAAACCAGTATAAGATGTTTAATAATGAAAACAGGTTAACATATTTAAATACAACAGATATTATAAATATTAAATTTTAAATGTGACTAATTTTAGCAGGCTTCCTGAGTTGTAATTTACATACTATAAATTCACCTATAAAGACAAAATCGTTTCTCGTGTATTCACGGAGTTGTGCAACCATCACCCCAATCCAATGCCATCATCCTCAAAAAGAAACCCTGTACTCATTTGCAAGTCATTCCTCATTTCTGCCCTCAGCTCTGGGCAACCACTAATGTAACTTCTGTCTTCAGAGATTTGCCTTTTGTGAACATTTCATACAAATGAATCATATAATATGTGGTCTTTGCATCTGGATTCTTCCACTTAGCACAATGTTTGTGAGGTTCACCAATGGTGTGCATGTATCAGTACTTCATCTCTTTTTATGGCCAAATAATACTCCATTGTATGGACGACCACATTGCAGTTCATGTACTGGATGAATAACCACATTGGCTTTTTGTTTATCCACTTACCACTTGATGGCCATTTGAATTGTTTCTACTTTTTGGCTGTCATGAACAATGCTGCTAATAAATATCCACATACAAGCCTTCACATGGATGGGTTATTATTTCTCTAGATAATAGTAGATATGAAAGAATATATCATATGACATATTTACATTTAACTTCTTAAGAACTGATGTCAATGTAACTATTTGAGAGGCAGGAAAAGTGTTAAATGAGATGAAGAAGTAGTTGTGCAGCAACAAAATGCTGGAACAAAATCAGGAGGATAAATAACTTCAAAAGTGATTGACTTTACTTTAGGTGGGGATTTATGATCTTTTAAAGACAAGTTTCCATAAAACAGCAGGAGTGGAAGTTTGCAGCATAAATATATGCTAGCAATAAAAAGTCTCATTAAAATATATTAAGCCTATTTAACGGGATATTAATGAGGTCTATTCCTAGGCATCAGAGGTACATATATATTAATTTTGTCAATTGTGGACGCTGATAAAAGAGAGTTAATCCACGGGCAAGCAACCATGAACACAGTTTTGCTTCACTCAATAGCACAGCAATTGCCTCAATCAATTTTCACATTAAAAAATAAAAAAGGCCAGCACTGCCTTTGTATTCCTACCTTAATGAAAAGCAGTACAAAAGCAGGTTCAACAATATAAATTATGTAGCAAAAAAATTAAAAAATAAATCTATAAAAACTTAATTTTTAATTCTAACAAGAATATCCTATTTTACTCCTTTAAAGTCAATCAAGTGTTCGAAAAAGATGGGCCAACTCCACTTCAGCCTTTGACTGTGTGGATCACAATAAACTGTGGGAAACTCTGAAAGAGATGGGAATTCCAGACCACCTCACCTGCCTCTTGAGAAACCTGTATGCAGGTCAGGAAGCAACAGTTAGAATTGGACATGGAAAAAAACAAAAATTGGACATGGAACAACAAACTGGTTCCAAATTGGGAAAGGAGTACATCAAGGCTGTATATTGTCACCCTGTTTATTTAACTTCTATGCAGAGTACATCATGAGAAACACTGGGCCGGAGGAAGCACAAGCTGGAATCAAAATAGCCGGGAGAAATATCAATAACCTCAGATACGCAGATGATACCACCCTTATGGCAGAAAGTGAAGAGGAACTAAAAAGCCTCTTAATGAAAGTGAAAGAGGAGAGTGAAAAAGTTGACTTAAAGCTCAATATTCAGAAAACTAAGATCATGGCATCTGGTCCTGTCACTTCATGGCAAACAGATGGGGAAACAGTGGAAACCGTAGCTGACTTTATTTTTGGGGGCTCCAAAATCACTGCAGATGGTAATTGCAGCCATGAAATTAAAAGACGCTTACTCCTTGGAAGGAAAGTTATGACCAACCTATGACCCTGATGCTGGGAAAGATTGAGGGCAGGAGGAGAAGGGGATGACAGAGGATGAGATGGTTGGATGGCATCACCGACTCAATGGACATGAGTTTGGGTAAACTCCAGGAGTTGGTGATGTACAGGGAGACCTGGTGTGCTGTGGCTCATGGGGTCGCAAAGGGTTGGACACAACTGAGTGACTGAACTGAACTGAACTCCACTTCCTTCAGTGACAGTGATGACAGTCAATTTTTACACATGGAAAGAAGTTCACATCAGAGTATCATACTAAAAACATTCAAATAAGTTCATGTTCTTTATTCTACAACAGCAGCCCAATCTATTACTAATCTAGCCCAATCATTGCTAGACACACAAAAGGAATATAAACCCATTCTGATGTCTACGTCCAAGCCTTACAACCTGAAATGCAAAATTTCAGAATTTTTCTACCGAAGCAACAATAACCTAGATACCTTATAAAATAAAAGATGAAAAGTATTCTCTAAGAACAGTACCTACTGACAGAATCGCTAACCTAACGTTTCTCAACGTTATTATGCACTGGCATTTTGAATAAAACTGTGAAAATCAGGAACTGCAAACTGAAATATTTAGCAGCTACTACGCAAAATGCCAATCCTTGACAAGATATGTTCTTGTGCCAGAATGCAAGTCAATACACCGAGCAGAGTCACGACCGCAGACGTGTCTGCTGAGCCTCACTGTGGCGCAGGGCCTCGCCGTGGCGGTCGGCAACAGACAGTTTGTGGTCGAGCAGTCAGGCCAATGGCTACACTAGTAGCACTAAGCCAGATGACACAGACCAGCATTTCAAAGGGGATGGTCACCAGGCAGCTCCAGGTAATGAATATCAAGTGGGTTTGCCAGCTTACCTTTGCCAAATCTCTAAATTTTTCAAATGAAACCAGGAACCTGTATCTTTAAATGAAATTTTTCTGATTCTTAAAATCTATGTGGACAATAAATAACTGCAAGTCTCATACAATTCACAGGCTGAAAGGTGGCAACCTCTATTGTAGAGAGTGGAATAACAAAGTTGGGTTACCTGGCCACTTTGCACTTTTAAAGTAGTATAATAGTGTTTCACTCTTTTTATTTATTTAATTTTATTTTTTTTCACTCTTTTTAAATACTACTTTGCTCAACTGAGTTATATGGACCAGATCAGAATTTTTTTTTTAATTTTTTATTTTTTTAGGTCAGAATTGAGAGGCTGTGATTGCTTCATTCCTTTATTTATTCAACAGATATTATATGTCATCTATGTGCCAGCCATTGTGCAAAATACTGGAGATGTTGCAGTACGCAAATACAATCTCTCCCTTCATGAAGCTGACAGTCTGGTAGGTATTAATCCCCAGAATCATTCAAACATACATAAAACTGTCACTGTGATGAATACTATAAAAGTATAGGTACACTGTGCTATGAAACCTACATACTAAGTGGAACTGCCTTGGGAAGGTCAAAGAAAGCTTCCCTGAGGACTAAAAGTAGAATAAAAATTTAACAAAGGAAAGAACTGAGAGAAGGGAACGTGGATGGCATCTTAGGGTCCTAAGTAAAGAGAAGAGCAAGTGCAAAGACCCTGAGACAGGACAGAACTTACAGGGCATCCCTGGAACTGAGAGACAGCCACTGTGTCTAACACGCAGAAAGCAAGATAAGCACGCATGGTTTAAAATGAGGCTGGAGAGGAAGAGAGAAGGTTGATCACGGAGGACCTTATAATTATGGTAACCATATAATTTTATCAATTAATTGAGGACTCTTCTGAAAGTGAAAGAGCTATTAATCACATCAGGATAATTATAATCTATGTTAAGGAGTTAGGTCTAGTATGGAATAAATCTGGACCAAGTGGAAGCAAAGATGTCAATTAGAGAGCTACTGCCGTAAAAGGCTGGCCAATGGCAGCAGTGGCGAAGACAGGGAAAAGTGACAGCAATTTAGACACATTCACGAAAGAAAACTTACAAGATTTGCTGCTGATGGACCGATACGCAAAGCAGGGGAGGATGTGTTTACAGATGTCTCCTAGAGTTCTGGCTTGTTCAACAGGATAGACAGTACCATTTGCTGAATCTGGGAACTCTGGCAGAGAACCATTTTTGAGGAAGCATATCATATTTGAGAGTCATGTTTGAGACATCCCAGTGCAGATACTGAGTAAACATGATCTCCAGGTATAGAACTCAGAAAACTGGTCTGCACAAACAAATGTATAAGCTATTTGCAAACAAACAAATGAGACCCTAGCATAGGTGACAGTGTCTAAGGAGAAAACACAAAGTGAGAGG